TCTAATCACAACACTTTCTTATTGTTTGGAAAGAATCACAATTCATATAGACAGTTTAAATTATGTTAGCGCAAATTTTGGAAAATCTCGACTACACAATCGTGTGAAATTTTGTTACCTTTTCCAGAAAATGACACAGAAAAATTGGTTTTCAAAATTTATCTAACTACTAACACATTTTATAAATTTGAATTATTTTTATTACTTTTTGTACATTAACAATCGTAAATCGATTAATTTATTTTAGAAAATCAAACGTAATATTTTTAGGTAATATCTTTTATCATAAAATAGCTACTCTACGTAGAAATCTTCTATCATAAAATTCACCAATAAAATTCACTAATTACTAATATTTTAGCAGTAATATATTATTTATGCATGCAATAATTTAGATACTTCTGTATATGTTGTTTGAATAAATTTACCACACATACACATATTTTCTTCCAAAATAGTTTAGAGAAAATATAAATGACATCATGCATTTTCAAGAATAATATAGAATACTTTGGGTATTTTTACTTATTTTATATAACATTTTAGATGTTTTTAATATTTAAACATACATGTTTTATGTTATTTTACACAAGTTAATTTTATGTAACAAACCAAATTATATCAATTTAATGACAAATTTATTTTCAAATTTTTTCAAATAATCCCGCTTTTATTTGGATTTGAAATTGGAAAATTCAAATTATTTTTATCCAATCATATGGTTAAACAGATTGACCATAAACAAGAGTCGAGGTCAATCTTTATTTCATGTTTCCTTATTTTTGAAGAAACCCATTTTTAGTCATGACCAGTTATATGTCGGTGTCTCCCGTGTTACTAACTCAAAAGTTTAAAATTATAATTTGTGAAGAAGATGGTTTGTATTTCTTTTCCTACAAAATGTTTAATTTTCAATAATTATATTTAAAATAATATTATAAAATGGTTTTGAGTAACAAGCCCACCATGCATCGCACGGCCGGTTACTCACTAGTGATAATAAATTTAATATACAACTAATAACTAAAAAGTAACAAAAGTAATTATTTAAAATAATAATCTTATTTTATACTCAATTTGTTAAAATGATAATTTTCTTAACCACATACACACACATACACACACACAAACATACACACACACACACACACTTACACACACACACACACACACATATATATATACAACTCAATTATTCAATTTTGAATTAATTTTCTTTTTCAAGTTTGATTATATTGTAACTACTAGTGTTGATACCCGTGCGATGCACGAAGTACATTACAAAAAATATTTTTTATTTAAAAATTATAAAATTATTTAAGACAATATAAAATTATATTCTCCACAATCTTCTACTCAGTAATAATATGATATTTATTTATTTACTATTATTGTTAATTTCTATATATATATATATATATATATAATTTTTTTGTATTTTTTGATTGTTTAATATATAAACTTTATTATTTATAAGTTTATAAAATATTATAAATGTATAAAATTATATGTTATTTGCATACAAATTACTTGTATTTATTTATAAAATTGTCGTTTATCATAGTCTTATAATTTTTTCAACAATTCATAATTTGCACATTGCTCGATAATTGACCAACGTTTAAGCCATTGTAGACAATTAAATTTTGAGTCAATAAAATGGCGACAAATGTCAAATTTCATGTCAAAATAAATTTAATAATTTAATTCTTAAATTAAATAGTTAATTAACGTTGGTTGAATGGTTCTTCCTGGCAGTTCTTGATAATTAATGGATTATTTAATATATATTGATGACCAATTAAATAATGCCACGTGTATATTTTGAAGGCCAATTAAAAAATGTCACATGTCATTTTCTTGGAGAGTAAAATAAATAATTATTTCTATACAACTTGAACATATTTTGATCAAACAATATGCGGTATAATCTCTATATGGAACCCTCTGATTCTTCTCTTTTCGGATCTTTAACTTGAATGTCGTGGATCTTCAAGAACACCTATGGATCTTCAAGAGAATTATTGAGAGCTCTTTTAAATTGAGACTTTGATTTATGAGGTGTTGAATTTTTTTAGGTGTGATTTGTGGCATTGAGGAGAGCTCTATTTATAGGAGACGAGATATAGTCTTGGAAAAGAAGACTTCAATTTGATTGGTCCATAATTTCAAATATTCATTTCTTTAATATTTATTAAAGAGATAAATAAGTGGAAATTCATGGACCAATTTATTAAATAGATAAATAAGTGAAAATTCATGGACCAATCAAATTGAAGTCTTATTTTTCAAGACTCCATCTTTTAATTATCTCTTTAATAAATATTAAAGAAATAAATATTGGATATGGACCGATCAAATTGAAGTCTTCTTTTCCAAGAACCTCTCTCCTAATTATCTCTAGAATCTATTGGTTTTCCAAGTCCCGTGACCCAAACGAAATACATCATATGCAAACTTCAACTTTAAGTCTTTAAGCAAAATTGAAATCCTAATCCAGTACAATATGTATTAGTCCTTTTTTTCGGTCTGCTTCTTTTTCTCCTAAATAAAATAGAAAATTATTAAATTGACTATGACATGAAATTTGACACTTGTCGCCATTTAATTGGCTCAAAATTTAAGTGTCTACACCCATAATATTTATCTTTTACTATAATTATTAAGTGTATTAAATGTTAAAAGCTTTGATAGATGAATTTTATTTATTAGTAACTTTAATCCTTATGCAACACACAAATTTTTAATGGTTAAATATTTTATTTTATATTTTTATTTTTTATTTATATTTATTTCTTTACTTCATTTTTTCAACCTATGTAATGAGTTCCATAGTATCTATTCGAATATTTAGATAGATTATATATTTGCATAATTACCAAGTGTTATAATTTAAATTATTATACATTGCTATGTTATTAACTTATTTTTTATTTATAAAATAATATATAAGAAAAAATATATATTTTTAAAAATTGAATAGTTTTTCAATGTACATAGATACTTCTAAGGTGAAATTTATAATTCTGAATTGCACCCGACCATCGAATTTTATTTCTATTAGTATATTATTTAAATTTTAAATAGTATTATCACTGCATTTGATATATTCAATGGGAATGTACCTTTTTATAGTTAAATTGACTACATTTCAGAAACTTTTAAGAATATTTTGAATTATTTATTAAGTCAGTATGATTTAAACATAGTTATTCTTATTATTTTATTAAATATTTTAAGTACTTCTTAATAGTGAATATAATTAATTAAATTGATATCTACACCATAGATGATAATATACTTGATCAATCAATTTCCATAATAATTTTTTGAATTGTATCAATAGATTACTATTAAATTAATATAAGATCTTATTGAAAATATATTTAATAAATCTATGGTCAAAATTTCAATTTAAGTCAATTTGTAGTTAATGAGTAATAGTCATTGAATGTATAAAAATTAATTATGTTTTTCATGCTTAAGATTTTTTAATAAATAAATATTAATTAAATGTCAAATATAGACGAAAAATTTCCCGCTCAAAATCAAGCCAATTATGGCAATAAGGATTGATCCATTATATAGATATAGATATAGATATAGATATAGATATGGATACTTTATATTTATACAATTTTCTTCCCTGACCTAATATTTTTTAAACTATCATCAACTTTATAATATTCAACAATTAAAAATATAATGTGTATGAGTGTAATGTTTTAAACTTTATGAAATAAAATAATTATTTTTATAATTCTAATTATAATGTTTATTTACTTTTTTTTTTTTCACAATCATAATGTTTATGTGCAGTCTTTATATAAGTCGAGACATATAATTTTAAAATATTTTTTATACTAATTTGATGTTCATGCTTCATTTATTTTTTTAAGTAAAATAGTTATATTATAGTATGTTAATACACATAAATTTTTATTGTTTTATAAGATAAAATATAGTTTTATTTAATCAATTTTAATCTAGTTTGATAAATACTTTTAGATTTTATTTATAAGCTATGTC